CATTGGTGATTCAGTCATCAAAGCATAATCTCAGTTAATAAAACTAATGATGAGGGGCGCCTGGGTGGCTCAGTCGGTTAAGCATCCAACTTTGGCTCAGGCCGTGATCTCACGGTTCGTGGGTTCGAGCCCCGCATCGGGCTCCGCGCGGACAGTGCGGATCCTGCTTGGGATTCTCTCTCTCCCTCTGTCTCTCTGCCCCATCCCTAACTCATGCTTTCTTTCCCTCAAAATAAATAAAATAATAAATAAATAAAACTCATAATGATAAAATCATGTAAAATTGGAAAAACGCTGTTATTTTCAATTAAGTATCACATTTTCTATTTTGGAATGTGGGTTCTATACTCTTCCAATAGAGGAAAGTACTGCTTCCTATTCTAATGTGTAACAAGTGACCTCTATTTCATAAAGTGCCCCAATTATTTAGTTAGTTGAATGACATACAAAGACATTGTTCATGAAGCCTTCTTGTGGAAGTTCAGTGTGATGCTAAGTGGTAATTTACTACATCATTTGGGTGTTTTTATTCAAATAAATACTATAGTCGATTATTTGTATTAATTATGGGCATTGTAAATTGTATTTGCTCTTACAATAGTCCAGTATCAAACACTTTACCTTCATGGGCTGATAAAAGGTCACCTGAGCATCACCAGTGAGCTCTAAGACTGGAAAGGTGGTTTCTCTAGTCAGTCTGTAATCAGTGGTATAGAGATCTGGGGAGCCTCTGTTTAATGGAGATTACTGTCAAGGTGGAGCTTGAGGCTTGAGGACCCCGGGGCTGTCCCCCATCCATACTCAGAGAGCTCACTCCTACTGACTCATTGAGCTAAGCCTTCTGTCTCCCACAATATGATGTTTCGGTTTAATTTTGAAAGCTCTATGGCCTTTGAAAACCGTGTTTGAGGGATACGTGTTTAAAAAAGTCATTCTGGATTTGCCGACCTGTCAATTTGTTTTCAGAGAGTCGGATTGGTTTTTGAGTATCTGTAAGTAAAGGGCATTTTGCAGAATTGATTCTCTTTGATGGGGCCTGTCACTGAGTTTCCAGTCTAAATGTTCCTGTTGTAAAGCATCTTTGTGATAACGTATATGCTGGGCTTCACAGAGGGGCTTCTTGATTAACAGTACAGCCCACTGTTGGGACCATGTTGGCTTCTTTCTGGTGCCTGTCTGTAAATTGCATGTGACAGGCACCATGTGATTAGTAGGATGTTTACATTCTTTCTCTCCAAATGCTTCCCTGGAGAAAAGCCCTCTCGCCCCTGCTTCCCTCATCTTGACTGTGAGTTGCTTCCCCGTCACCAAATTTCTTAGCCCCACGGTAAGACTAGATGATTCCTGCAGAAATGCGTTCTTTCACGAGAGCCGAAGTGGGGACATGAGGGAAGCACTGTCCGCTCTGGGAGGGTCCGGCCACATCGGTCTGCTTCTGTTCTATCCCGACATCGATACAGTGTGGCGCCTCGTGGCCTATATCAATATGAAATGAAAATGGGGCTGCATTTGGGGAATGAATGAAAATGAAGTCAAGGCAGGGGTGGGACGGGGCGGGGGGAGGGGGGGGAAAATGGGGAAAAATGGTCTTTTACTAACAAAACTGTATTTGCCAAAGCAGAATCCCTGCTGAAGCCGAATTTGAAGTTACGGTAGCTTGTCAATATAAAACCAATCTTTTATAATACGACACAGGAGCCAAAATACTTTCTCATACTTTATAAATAAACATACATTCAAGAATAGTCACAAGTGGGGGCGCCTGGGTGGCTCAGTCAGTTAAGCATCCGACTCTTGATTTCCGCTCAGGTCATGGTCTCGCATTTATGAGATCGAGCCCTACATCGGGCTTTGCACTAACAGCCAGGAGCCTGCTGGGGATTCTCTCTCTCCCTCTCTCTGTCTCTCTGCCCTTCCTCTTTTCGTGCATGCACAATCTCTCTCTCTCTGTCTCTCACAATAAATAAACATTAAAAAAAAAGAATAGCCACCAATGAAGTGTATCGAATTATGCAATAGGCAGATCAAAAAAATAATTAAGTTGGTGATTTCCCATCTAAAATAGGGTTTTTAATGTTGAAATCAAAGAAAGACCACAAAATGTCTGGCCCTGAACTGGTTCTCGTCACGGCCACCTCTGAACAATCAGGAATCGAGCCCGGTGACCGTCACCGGGCTCGATTCCACGGAGTGGAAGATGTACGCATGTCTGTAAAGGGCCAGACAGCACACATTTTAGGCTCGGTGGGAGCATGTGCCCTCTGCCACTGTTCTTTGTTCTTTTAACAAACCTTTACAGAAAGTAGCTCACCGGGGCTGTACAGGCTGCAGACTGATGTGGATAGTTTCCGATGAAGAGGAGGAGCAGCCTGACCTTCCAGACTTCTAAAAGCAATTCCTGAATTTTATCCGTGTCATTCTCACCCCCTTAGTCTGTTAACCGTTTAAGTAACAGACTTAACGGAGCTTAAGTCTGTTACCATTTAAGACTTTAGTGAAACTAACCAGGACTGTTACAAGATGCATTTTTGAGGGGCGCCTGGGTGGCGCAGTCGGTTAAGCGTCCGACTTCAGCCAGGTCACGATCTCGCGGTCCGTGGGTTCGAGCCCCACGTCGGGCTCTGGGCTGATGGCTCAGAGCCTGGAGCTTGTTTCCGATTCTGTGTCTCCCTCTCTCTCTGCCCCTCCCCCGTTCATGCTCTGTCTCTCTCTGTCCCAAAAATAAATAAAAAAACGTTGAAAAAAAAATTAAAAAAAAAAAAAAGATGCATTTTTGAAGTGGTTTTGTTTGACTCGGTTGGTGACGTAGCTGGATGATATAATTCCGCCACTTTACAGGCCTAGAAAACCTGTCAAAAGACATGTGAAGTCTGCCTCGTAAGATCTCATGTGATGATTAACATGTGGTTGATTGTGCAATGTCCCAAGTGTCCGTGATCTCGTTGGAGAGAGAGCTGAAAACATTCAAGGGTTGTAAGGCCACTCTTTTGCGTTTCTATAAATCCAGTAAATTTTTCACCGCTACGTTTTACCTGAGGGGAAGGTTCCAGGAAACAGAATTTAGCTGCTGGAGAGCAGTGGTTCTCAAATGTAGTCATCAAGCCAGCAGCGGCATTGCTGGGGGTTCGTGTTAGAAATGCAGATTCTCTGTTCCCACCCCAGGCCAGCAGAGACGGAACTCTGGGGATGGGGCCCAGCAGTTTGCGCTTACCCCACACTCCAGCATGTTCTCATCCCTGGAAGGTCAGTATTACACTTACAAAGCAATAGTGGCCCCAGGGAAGCTCAGGGCCAAAGCTTTCGGATCAGAATAATCCTGACAAAATAATTCATGGAACAAACAGCTGTCATTCGCTCACTTCAGAAAGAAGCCTTAGGGGTGCCTGGGTGGCTGAGTCGGTTAAGTGTCCGACTTCGGCTCAGGTCATGATCTCGCAGTCCGTGAGTTCGAGCCCTGCGTCGGGCTCTGTGCTGACAGCTCAGAGCCTGGAGCCTGTTTCAGATACTGTGCCTCCCTCTCTCTCTGGCCCTCCCCCGTTCATGCTCTGTCTCTCTCTGTCTCAAAAATAAATAAACGTTAAATAAAATTAAAAAAAAAAAAAAAGAAAGAAGCCTTAATTATTATCATTGCCTTTCAGTGACGTGCCCGCAGAAAAACTAGACTAGTAAAATGTGAAAGTATTTAAATCCTTCGTTATCAAATTCTCATTATTGTCATCTAACACGCTAAAGGACATTGTTTGAATTTGACAAAGGGTTATGTTTTTATCAGGCACATTCATTTAATTATGCAATGGAGAATAACTGCTTGTTTACATGATTTTTAGACAGACGGCAGTGTTTATACATTTTTCCACTGTGTGTGTGAATCAAAATCAAGCTTCTGAATTTTCCCATTTATTGGCTTTCTCTTGCACCTTTATTTGTTATACATATGTGTTCTTAAAATTTTTCTTTTTAGGGCCCCCCGGGTGGCTCAGTCAGTTAAGCACTGGACTCTTGACTTTGGTTCAGGTCATGATCTCAGAGTTTGCAGGATAGAGCCCCACGTCGGGCTCTGTGCTGATAGTGCAGAGCTTGCTTGAGATTCTCTCTCTCCCTCTCTCTCTCTGCCCCTCCCTCCCTCTCTCTCTTCTCTCTCTCCTTCAGGAAATAAACATTTAAAAATAAATAAATAGGGGCAACCTGAGTGGCTCAGTCGGTTGAGCCTCCGACTTCGGCTCAGGTCACTATCTCACGGTCCATGAGTACAAGCCCCGCGTCGGGCTCTGTGCTGCCGGCTTGGAACCTGGAGCCTGGAGCCTGCTTCGGATTCTGTGTCTCCCTTTCTTTCTGCTCCTCCCCTGTCCGTGCTCTGTCTCTCTTCTTGTTTGTCTGTCTTCTTGTTTGTTTATTGATTTGTCTTGTTTTTAGATTCCATGCACGAGTAAAATCACACGGTGTTTGTCTTTCTAAGGCACAGTCACGTCTTGTCTTGTTTACTTGTGAGATACGAAAAACACAGGAGATTTTTCCGGGTAATACGAATCCCTCTGTGTCTCTCTTGTTCTGTCTTCAAGTGGTTTGGCCAGTGTTCTTTCTACATTAATGATAAAATAGAACTTTTTCAGATGCAAGGGACCTTGATGGTTGGAGAGATGAAACTGTCAGAAAGTTGAGAGAAAACAACAGTGTCATAGCCATGGTGTGATGGGGGGGTGGTGCAGCAGGGGGTGACTTCAACTTCTTTACTGATCTTCATTTTTTACAGGATAAGAAGTGGCTATTAGAAAGGCAGGAGCAACTGGGACTTGGCCAACGCATGTATGTCTAGATGATACATTTTGGGGAAAATGTCAGGAAAGGCCAAGAGTGGAGTTGAGGGGTATCGGCTACTGGTAGGAAGGGAAAATCAGCCACATGGATTTCCCCCTTGCGTATGTGTGTGTTGACTTACACATCTCAATGCACTAATAAAGACATGTTGTACTTAGGTTACTTTTTAATGTCTCTCCCTGTAGGATCTGAGGTGGTTAATTTTGATGGAAAGAGCTCCTTGATATACACATTGAATCAGAAGTCCGTGAGTCCAACAAAAGATGTCATTTCTTTGAAATTTAAGACCAGGCAGACCGATGGGATTCTACTCCACCGAGAAGGACAAAATGGCAAACACGTCACCCTGGAGTTAGTTAAAGGAAGACTCATCTTATCCCTTAATTCAGGTAAAAACCTACCAGGTGGTGTTTTTGAAAATGAGCTTGTTGAGATGAAAGTATCTTTTTGTGCTAAATTTTTCACAGCTATGTAGGTAACTCATCCTGAAACCAGAACGCTTTTTAAAAAAATTTTTTTAGCATTTTTAAATTTATTTTGGAGAGAGAGGGAGACAGAGCCCGATCCGGGGAGGGGCAGAAAGAGAGGGAGACCCAGAATCCTAGGCAGGCTCCGGGCTCCGAGTCGTCAGCACGGAGCCCGACTGTAGGCTCGAACTCATGAACTGTGAGATCATGACCTGAGCTGAAGTTGGACGCTTAACCGACTGAGGCCCCCAGGCACCCCAACCAGAACACTTTGGAGAAAGAAGGGAGACCCTGTAAGTCATTACTCTGGAGCAACAGCTGTAAACCAGAACATCCGAGGCAAACTGTCCTCTGGTCGAGGTGTGCTCCAGGCAACATGTATTTATCTTGAGCATACTTCACTGTGAAAACTTTTAATGCTTGATAACCGTATAAGACCGTTTGTACTTCGTCCATAACCTGATAACATTGTAGAGGCAAGGGTGGAGCATTGAATTTTTAAGGTAGTATTAGAAATGAGGTCCCAGGAAGAAGATATTGTCAAGAAAAATGAAAATGCAATAATTGATAATAAGAAGAACAAGGGGTACGTGGGTGGCTCAGTCGGTGAAGCGTCCGACTTCGGCTCAGGTCGTGATCTCATGGTCCGTGGGTTCGAGCCCTGCGTCGGGCTCTGTGCTGACAGCTCGGAGCCTGGCGCCTGCTTTGGATTCTGGGTCTCCCTCTCTCTCTCTCTCTCTCTCTCTCTCTCTCTCTCTCTCTCTCTGTCTCTCTGCCCCTCCCCTGTTTGTGCTCTGTCTCTCAGAAATAAATAAAACATTTAAATAATAATAATAATAATATAAACAAGAAATGCGGAAGAATTTATTCACAAATGAGAGAAGGTGGTGTGTGAGACTAATGTCAGAGCAGCCGACCAGTGCTTGGGAGAGAAGGAGGGAAGGAAAGTGTAGTTGTGAGAAACGCTGCCCTCCACGTGGCCATCATAGTGTTGAATTGGAGTGGTGCATTACTTCCCCTGTCCTTCTAGGCCATGCTAACCTGCCGTCCCCTGACGCCCGTGTGACCCTCACCCTGGGCAGCCTGCTGGACGACCAGCACTGGCATACTGTCCTCTTGGAGCTCCTGAACGCACACGTCAACTTCACCGTGGACAGGCACACGCAGCATTTCCAGGCAAAGGGCGGGTCCCGCTATTTGGATCTTGATGATGAGGTGTGAAAATTACTTTTTAAGTATTAACGGATTTAAATGCAACCTGACCTTCTAGGAAAATGGCACGACACAGAGAAATCCCCTTGGCTAGCAATTCAGAATTCCGGTGAAGCGTTTCCCACGGCTGACGTCGGCGCGTGACGTGCCCGTGTGCCGTCGAGACGTTTCATCACTCGTCGATGTTAGTTTTCACACGAGAGGCAGTGGGCGTTAAAGCTGGGAAGTGTGTGCGTGAAGAGCTACCAGGACAGCAGGCCGCGCTTAAAAATGATTTGTTCAGACAGTTCTTTGGTGTTACATCTGGTGTCGGATGTCAACACTTACCTTGGAGATCTCTGTGTTTTAGGGCAATCCTACACAGAATTAGCGATCTAGGGGACCTCGGAGAAGTGATCCCTGTATATTCCAACATGCTTTTTTGAGGAGCAGGAGAGCCAGAAGTGCAGGATTCCAGATACCATTTCTTGGGATATTTAAAGGTTTAACGTATTCGCAGTGTGTTGCCTACGCGGGTTGACCCTACGCTGAAATGCCCCTTTTGTTCCGCCGGTTCTGCTCAGCACATCTGTCAGAGCAAATGGGATGATTTCAACATTCATTTAGGATAAGTGGCCTCAGCAGAGGAGGCCAGCTGGAGAGCCTGGCCTTGAATGAGATTATCAATGGCTTTATTATTCTAACCTATCAGCAGAGCCACCGCAAGGATCAGGACCCTAAAGTCTGGGTTCCAGAAAGGTTTCTAAAGTAGAATGTCATCACGGGCAGAGGTATGGTCGCATAGATCAAGAGTGACCGTGGAAATCGATGTGCGATATTCCCCATCGGCTAAAGTGACAGAGTCGGTTTGAGCAGCACCTTGCAAGATGGGTATTTAACCTATTTATCTAGATATAATGAAACATTGCAAAATCTACATCGAAAATTTCATTTGAAATTAACACGATAATGCAAAATAATGCTGGATAGATTTGCGACAGTTATTGTACGCCTGCTCGTCATAAATGTTTTAGGCAGATAATCAGAAAATCATTAAACAATATTATTTATGTCATTTTTTTCTTTCTAAGATCAGCTTCGGAGGGATTCCCGGACACAGAAAATCAGTGGTGTTCCCACATAAAAACTTTCACGGCTGCTTCGAAAACCTCTATTATAATGGAGTGGATATCATTGATTTGTCCAAGAAACGCAAACCGCAGACCCTCGTCGTGGTAAGAAAGTCTGTTTGCGAGGTCAAGAGAAACTTGCAACTTGCAGCTTGCCTGATTGGTTCGGTTTTAGAATACACCTGTCCTGAAGGCAGGGAAAGTACCAGTCATATATACTTTTCAGTTCATATTTAGTCCATGTTAATTAATCGATTAGATTTTAAAATGCAACTTACTGGCGAAGATTTTAATTCTGGTTGGTTTACAAGCAGTGTAATATCACCTTCAGGTGTACCATATAGTGATTCAACATTTCCCCCCAACACCCGCTGCTCATTCCAAGTGTGCTCCTTAACCCCCATCGCGTTCTTTCTTAATTTTTACGTACGTATGGAAGCCGACGCAAAATTTCTCAAATATTTCTCCGACACTTCTTGATCACGGGCAGCCTCGGGGATGCCAGCCTCGAACCTTATCTCCGTGCTCAAGGGCTGTGCGTGGGGATCTGGTTCTGTCTTGCGATGTGCGAGAGCGCTCCGTTGTTTCTGCGAAGGGGGGCAGGGTCTGCGGATACGCAAGGGGGAGGTTAGCAAAAGCATTTGTGTGACTCCCAAAGGAAAAACATCGTGCTAAAAAAGGTTAGGTCTAGGCTGTTGAGAAAGTGGACGTGGCTTTGAACCGACTGGCTGGGAGAGTTTGGGTCCCTCTGTCTTCAAGGCCAGTGGTCTGTCTGCTGTGGATGCAGGGACTTAGGTCAGCAAAGTAAGGAGCTTGTTTTCTGGAAGCAGGTTAACCCCTAAGATGGATGGGAGAGTTGTGACAGTTCTGTCTCTCCATATGGCTGCCGGCCCTCGCCCAGCCTGGCATGTTACTAAGCCAGCACCCGTCCTTCCACGTTTGGGCCCTTATAACCGAATCCTGTACAGATCAGTGGGTTCAGGTTCACCCACATATGTGTGAACGTAGATGCCTCCATGTCCAGCGCCGTCTACAGAAAGGGGATCGTTTTAGAGAAGCTTTTCTCAGTCTCGGTTTTCTGACTCCGCTAAACCTTGTGGAAATTCGTTTAGGTCAGCAGGTGTAGGTTTGTGTTGTCACGGCTGCACAGTTTGCGATTAGGAAAGTCATTTTCTAATCAAGACGTTTGCTTTATTTCTACTTCTGTTTTACCACCAACGGGCAGTCGCACCTTTGTTTTCAGATACGGGGTCTTTTATTTGGGTGGGAAAAGTTTCAGGAGTAGAATTTCTTGCCTGGAAGTTTTATGCAGCTCGGAATTTTAATTCATGTTGCTGTTTGCCCCCCCCCCCCCAAAACTGTAACATGACATTTGCCATCAGCAGTGTGTGACACGGTCCTTCCATCCAATGTCAGGCAGCCACACGCGTCAAACAGCTCTCAGACTGTTGCCAGCTCAACGGACATGAACTGATAGGGGATGGTTACGTCGTGTTTATCTGACTACCGATGAATGAAATAATCTTTTGTCCGTTTGGATTTGCTTTTCTGATCACTGTTGATTCTTATTCTTTTGCCCATTTTTAATTTTATTAAAGGATTTTTTTCCTTGTCAATTTATAAGAAAGTTTTATGTTTGGCAGATTATTACCCTTTGTCATTCAGGGTCCAGATAGGTTTTTCAGACTAATCAATTTTATATTAAATGTGAAGTCATGTTCTAATATAATTATGTATTGTATATCGTATCTTTTATATTAAATGTTATATGCTGCGTTGAGTATATAAATGTTTTTATTTGTATGTGGTCAATGTGTCTATGTATTTTTTTACAGCTTTGTAGTATTTGGAATGTTTCTAAAACCCGAGATGCTAGGTATAGTCTCACGGATTTTCCGGGAAAAAGTTTTAAGCTGGTTTTATGTGTTTTGAAATTGAAAAAATATCTTTAAGCCTTTGATTGTCTAGGATTTATTCCTTCTGTGGATCAGTTGTCATTTTAGGCCTTAGGGATACCCATTTATTCTTATACTATGTAGTAATTGAGCCCAGCCTTTTGTGTCTAAGTTGAATCGTACCTTTTTTTACACACTGACTGTACATATGTTCTCAGATCTTTCTGTGGGTTATTTATTGGGCTCTGCTGTTATGTTTATTCCTATAGCAATACCATAATGACTTAACTACAGTGCCTTTATGGTGTGGATGCTTTGGCGTCTGCTGAATTAAGTCCCATCTCACTGTATTTCTTTGCATAATATATTTTGGAGAGGAATGGCAATGTTTAGGTACATATTCCTCTGGAATTTATGAAAATGTATCCAATCCCAGGCAAAAATTCTAGTAGAGATCTTAATTCGAGTTATGTTAAGAACTTAAGTTCCTTCTTTTCCAAATGCTGCGATTAAAAATAAGTTTGCTCCTGGAGCCAGAGAAATAATCTAAAGATAAAAGGTGTGTGTTTTTTTGGTAAAATAGAATGAAAGAGTTATAAAAACCTGCCAGGCAGGTCAGACCTTAGGCTGGGTGAACACCCTGGGCGACCCGGCCCGTGAGAGCTTCTGAGAGGCAGCCTGTTTGCCTTTGGAAAGGTCACCTGGCCACATCCTTCCCTTCGGATGTGCAGAAGCTTACTGCCCACCTGAGTCAGATGTACACGCGTCACCTGAGTGACACAGCTATAAGCACGTTTACATAACCAAGGCGAGTTCAGGAAAGTTCTTGGAGAAGGTGGTCCTTGGTGCTGGGCTTCATACCAGATATAAACACCTAACACCTTGAGGGGAGAAGTCTGTCTCGTCTGTTGTATCCCACGTCCAGCACAAGGCCTGGGAAAGATGTGGCTCGAGATTCCTTTGCCAAAGCCCAGAAATGGAGAAGACAGAACTCCCCTGAAGGACTCAGAAATAGGTTTGCCCGGAGAGGGCGGTGCTGTGGTTTGAGGGACCTGTAAGGTAAATCTGGACTTAAGTTTGATGGGGAAGCCTAGTTTTGAAAGTCCTAGTTTGCTAGAAGGTTGATAGGATACTGTAAATCTTGGAAAACCCATTGTTGGTGAAATGGAAGTATCCTTCCGGCACCTTCCTAAATCCTCTTTTGCTGTGTTCACAGGGAAATGTGTCTTACTCGTGCTCACACCTTCAGATTGTCCCTGTGACTTTTCTGAGTTCCAGCAGCTACTTGGCTCTCCCGGGTGCCTCTGGAGAGGACAAAGTGTCGGTCGCTTTCCAGTTTCGGACGTGGAACAGAGCAGGGCTGTTGCTGACCAGTCAGTTAAAACACGGGTCGGGGGCTCTTGTCCTTGTTCTAAATGATGGAAAACTCAAGCTGAGTCTCTCCCAGCCCGGACATCCATCGAGGGATATCACAGCAGGTAATAGACATTTGTCACGTGTAAACCCGAGATTTGTCATCTCTACAATAAATGAGCAAGTGAACCGATAAGATATTCATAATCCTTCTAGAAGGAACTAAATTTCTTTTACCTTTGAAATAGGTGTCTCCAGGCTGTTGGTGTGTGACACAAATTTAGCTACATCAAACATAATTGTCAAAAAGTTTAAAAAATAACTTATTTATAAGTCAGTGGTTAGTAATTGGCCGTGAACTTGAAATACTGGAGGCCATTAGCCTGATCCTGAGTAGTCCTGGGAAAGTAGAGTTCTGTTTGCTGTCTTTTGAGCCTGTTTACACACTGGTTTTCATAATTTTTTTAAGTTTATTTATTTTTGAGAGAGAGAGAGAGAGACAGACAGAGCATGAGCGGGGGAGGGACAGAGAGCGAGGGAGACACAGAATCCGAAGCAGGCTCCAGGCTCCGAGCTGTCAGCACAGGGCTGGATGTGGGGCTCGAACTCACAAACTATGAGGTCATGACTTGAGCTGAAGTCGGTTGTTTAAGTGAGCCACCCAGGTACCCCTGGTTTTCATAATATTTTAAGTTCTCATTTTCCCCCTTTCTGTCACAGCTCCTGCTCCCTTTGGGGACCCTGTTTTGGGTGAAGTTCTTATAACCATGGGCAGATGTTATGCCCCGTCTTCCAAGAAGCACCCATGTTTCCAAACTCCCTTCCAGAGATGTCTTATCTTTGAACTTAGGGGGCTATTTTGCATTTGAGTGCTGATAAAAATTTAAACCCAGGCAGGCTCATGGCATGTCCTTCCATGAATGTTGACTAGGGAAGGACCCTCTTGCCCGACCTGGGGTTACCAGTTTGGGATTGAAAAACCAGGAATGAAATGTACATTTTTTGTTTCTTTTTATAAATCAGAAAAATCTGACCGCCGGCGCACAGAGTTTCCCTGTGGACCTCAGCAAATGAACAGAGCCAATAGTGTCCAATCAGATTCAGTAAACTGCTTCAACCTTTGCTTGTACAGATTTACAAGCCCCATGTAGCATTAACTAAAAAAGATCGTTTGTTACTCTTGTGTCACGTGGGTACATAGCGCTGTCCCGTCCAACACGCACATATATTAGTTATTTAACTTTTTTTAAAGGCCAGTGCTGAAACATTGCACAATTTATTGCATTGATTTCTAAGCCTTTACAGGGCAACGTGTTGATTTTCAAAAGCAAACCAAAGGTGAATTTTTCTTGGTATTTGCTGCTTGCTTTGGAAGCCTGTGAGGGGTGATGTTTTTTGCATTTGAAATACAGGCATGCCCCAGAGATATTCGGGCTTGGTTCCAGACTACCACAATAAAGCAAATATCACAATAAAGCAAGTGAAATGCATTTTTTGGTTTTCTAGTGCATATAAAAGTTTTGTCTACAGTATACTGTAGTCTGTTAAGTGTGCATTAGCTTTAAGTCTAGAAAAACAATGTACATATCTTAATTAAAAAACACTTTATGGGGCACCTGGGTGGCTCAGTCGGTTGAGCGTCCGACTTCAGATCAGGTCATGATCTCGTGGTTTGTGGGTTCGAGCCCCGCGTCGGGCTCTGTGCTGACAGCTCGGAGCCTGGAGCCCGCTTCAGATTCTGTGTCTCCCTCTCTCCCTGCCCCTCTCCCACTTGCACCTCTGTCTTTCTTTCTCTCAAAAATGAATAAAACATTAAAAAAAGAAAAAAAAAACTTTATGGCTGGGGCGCCGGGCTGGCTCAGTTGGTAAAATAGTCAACTCTTGAGTTTTGGCTCAGGCCACGATCTCACAATTTATGAGATGGAATTCTCCACGGGGCTCTGCACTGACAGCTTGGAGCCCGCTTGGTATTCTCTCTTCCTCTGTCTGCCCTTCCTCAGCTCTCGCTCTCTCTCTCTTTCAGAAGAAGTAAACATTTAAAAAAATACGTTATTGCTAAAACATGCTGTTATTTGAGCTTTCAGTGAGTTGTGATCACTTGGTTACAGAACGTCATAACAAATGTCTTAGTAATGAAAAAGTTTGAAAAATTGTGAGAATTACCAAATGTGACATAGAGACACGAAGTGAGCAAATGATGTTGAAAACATGGCACCAAGAATCACGCTCCAGGGAGGGCTGCCGCAAACCTTCACCTCGTAAAAGACACTGTATCTGCGAATCGGGTAACGCGAAACGCAATACGACGAGGTGTGCCTGTAGATGGAAAATGAGACAGCTTGCAATGGGTTTTCGTCTTAAACCTTGTATGAAGCACGAAAGCACGTACCAAACCCAGAACCAGATTTTAAATGATAAGCTCCATGTAAGTCGCATTGAATGGCAAAAAGGACGTCCAGTCATCTTTCATCCTGTTCCCAGGTGTTAGATCCTTTTTTTCTAATAGTTATCTCAGGATCTAGAACGGTCCAAGGGTGTGTAATCTAGTGTGCGTGTGTTTATGGAGCTGGCCCAGGGGAGTGTGGTGGGAACAGAAGGAAAGCAGAGGAGGGACAGCGCGCTCCCCTTTATGTCTGATGGGCTGGATAAGGCGCCTCCTTTGCTCTCACCAAGCCTCACGTCCTCGCCTTTGAAATGACTCTAGTATGACTCACGGTAGAAACAACGACACCGTGCGTGCAAACCATCAGCACGGTGCCTGCTGATGAGCACTCGGTAACTTTTAGTTACCGTTATTCCCCAACTAGTCCCCCCCCCCCATCACCTCCTAGATTGAGACTTTGAAGGGGGGAGCTGGGAAGGGCTGAGGGAAAGAATTAGCATCATTTTTGCAGTAGCAAAACCAAAAGCACAGTCTACCCTCTCTTCTTATCTATCCCTTGCCTCCGGGGCTGCCTGGGAGACTGGCTTCTTCCATCAGAAGTAAGGAGAGTAGAGCACACACAAAGGGTGAGAATTATAATGGGTAGACGGAAAGAATGCACGTTAAGTGCAGGCGTTTCACTTTAAATGAGAATGACAGATTTTATTAAAAACCAGTCTTTTATTATAAAAGAGCCAAATGGCATCTATTAACCAATTCAAGGAGATTTTCAGGAGTGTTTTCTGCAGGCTCTCCCGTGAAATAACTCTATGTCCTAGACAGGTGGGTGGACACACAGAGGGCAGGAGGGGGTGGGAGGGAATATTTCACACCAAATTAAATATTGGGTTTTAATACCAGGCTTTAAGTGGATGTGGTTACCGTCCTGACAGATATGCTAAGTAAGCTTTAAAATCAATACCGAATGGGAAGACTGGAAGGAACATTCACGGAATCTGGTGTGTTTATTTCTTTTCAAGCTCCAGGACTGCAGGACCTCCTTCAGCTCGCTTCAGGGCTAATGTCATAATGTATGTTTTAAGTAACCCAAATCCTCCGTGTTCTGTTGTCACCTTCCTCATTATCCATTCATGAAACTAACAGGCGTTGACCCTTTACAACGGTTTTGGCTCCACAAATGTGAAACAGAAAGTGAGACTCTGGCATTTTTATCACACTGGATGCGTGTCCGTGGCAAAGTCACCTTTGTGACTTTAAAAACTGTCCCTTCCTTGAAAGTGAGTGCTGGAAAGTAAATTAACTAGTATTTTGTAGTCTGAGAAGAACAGAGTTGTAGCTATTTTTTTTAAGTTTATTTCTTTATTTTAGAGAGAGAGAGAGTGTGTGAGCAGGGAAGGGGCAGAGAGAGAGGGAGAGAATCCCATACAGGCTCCACGCTGTCAGCGAAGAGCCCGACGCGTTGACTCAAACTCACAAACTGTTATATCATGACCTGAGCCGAAATCGAGAGTTGGGCCCTTAACCGACGGAGCCTCCTAAGAGCCCCAAAGTTGTAGCTATTTTTAGAGTGGGATCTATGACCTTCTGGGTCATGTCAGAAACATATTTCCCACACATGTGGATCTCAGGTCCATGTGGAAGTCACTGATGAGAGATCAAGCAAAAATGAAAAAGCTGTATTTTAATTTTAATTTGTAATTGAAGGGTAATTGACATATTGAAGAACATGTTACAGACATGAATTTGTATGGTTGATTAGACTGATGGGGCCGGAATCTGGTATTAAGTTAAATATGACTGGTTAACTTTCTACCGGAAATATGGTCGTATTTTCTTTGGGGCTTATATCCCCATGGGCTATAAAATAACTCTGATTCTCGTGGGTTGACTTCCAAACATATAGGGCTGTTGAGCAGTCTTTGACTTTATCATTTATAAGAGGTATTAGTTAATCTGTTGGGACAATTCCCTAAGATGGTTAGAGTCAAGTAGACTCATCATCATGCTTGGGCATGACATCAAAAAATCAAGAAGTCATCATTTTGTTATTTTTAAATGAGTAAAGGTGTTTATGGCCTCGTTCCCTCCTGGGCAAGACCATTTCTTTCTTTTTTTATTTTATTTTGGGAGAGAGAGACAGAGAGAACAAGCTGGAGAGGGGCAGAGACAGTGAGAGAAAGAATTCAGTGCAGAGCCTGACACGGGGCTCGAACTCGCCAACTGTGAGATCATGACCTGAGCCAAGATCAAGAGTCAGACGCTTACCCGACTAAGTCACCCAGGTGCCCCCAAGACCATTTCTGAATCATTTCCAATTATTCACTGTCCTCCTTAACACAACAGGCATCTCTGTGCACGTGGGGGTTGCCGTGACTGTTTTGGAGGGGAGGAATTTGGCCAGATGACTCATTTTGGCCAATGGAATGTGGGCAGAAGTGATAACTGTCACATCCGAGCAGAAGCCATGGCAAGATGCTGCCAAGCACCGTTTCGTTCTCAGCCCTGAGGCAGAAATGGGGCCATGCATTAGCTCCAGTCCTCCATGCAGAGGCACTGGGGGCACAGAGGATGGAGACCTGACTGGCTCAGGACCAGAGTGAGAACCAAACCCTTAATTGTTACTCATTGAGCTTAGGGGTTGTTTGCTTTGGCAAAATAATCTAGGAGGGGCTAACTAACAAACGTTGTCTTGGTGAGTGTGCTGGTACACCTACTGTTGACTGATTTATCTTCTCCGTGACACAACATCGGATTTTCATTCAGTGTAAGACCTGGCCAGTAAGTCTGTAGGAGAAAGTAAAGTCACATGTGGTTGGTCGCTGGTCGCTGGCTGGACCACTTGACCATTCCCAACTCCATCACTTTAAGAAAAAAATAGAGACTTCGTCTCACGGATTCGAGAGACGGTGGCTGATTTAGGAGGGACTAATACTAGTTTTTCAGAATAATAACAGAGCAATAGCTGGAGAGTGCTGTGTCAAATTTGGGAAAACAAAATGGAAAAACGACATAAAATGAAAGCAAACACCATTCCCTTCTCCAAAAGTTAACGTTCATATTTAAGAATATTTCCTACCAGTTTTCTTTTCCATTTTTATACATTGATTTTATACAGTGATTGAGTATGCACACACACACACTGTAATATAATGCTTTTCTAACTTTACATTTAATGATTTCAGTGAAATTTCATGTTTTGTTAATAAATACTTAAATATTTTTAGAAAGTTAGATTGATATATACGATATATTTGTCTGAATAGTCTACCACGAATAGTCTAAATGGTCTATAATTATCATTATAGATAATGCTAATACAAAAAAGTCTGAAAAAATTTATTTTTGTAACTTACAATTGTGGAAAATGCCTATGCTTCTCCACATGCTCAAGTATGAACAAGCTAGAGGAGAATGAGGTATGCCCTATGCCGTGTGATTGGAAAGGTCTCATTCTTTCAGGGTTGCTCAGGGTCAGTTGTGTTATTCTCTAAAGGCCCTAGGACTAGGAGAAACTAACACGACAGCATCCAAAGCAGAATGTCTGGATTGCCCACTCTTGATTCTTCTTTACCCCTTTGAATCGAGTCTCTTTCTTTTCTCCTCTTTTCTCCCTGTACTTTTCTGATTTAATTGCGTGATGAGACAGTGAAACACAGCCATTGCAGAGCGCCCTTTAGGGCATAAATATTCCCGACCGAACATAATAATTTTTGTTAGAACCAGACTGGCCAGTCCATGACTGTGGAGGGTCAGACGCAAGGACCCACCACAACCACACATTTACTCGATGAGCCTCACTGCATGGGCCACACCTTCCTCCTGGATAAACCGGATCAGGATACCACATCATCTCACTGCCTCTTTGGAACCCCCAGGCAAGCCCACATCTATCCCAAGCCTCACCCTGTCCCCCCGAGAGGCCCCAGCTGTCCTCTGTGGTGGTTCTCCATTGCCCAGCCAGCTAAATAGCCTGGGGAGGCTTCAGGTGAGTTCATGGTGGTCTTTGGTAGATGGTCCAGGATCTTCATCGTGCTGTTTTCGAGCACTTGCTCTGTTTGGAGGCATCTGTAGGGTTTATAGGAAAATCTTTTTCCCCATCTTGTTTACCTCCAGGTGCTGGATTAAGTGACGGGCAGTGGCATTTGGTGTCCTTATCATTGAAAGGAAGTCACCTGAGTGTGATGGTGGATGGCGAGGCGGCCTCCGTGGCTCATTCCTTGCGTGGACGGATTGATTCCGGGGACACCTATTATTTGGGCGGTAAGTGAAGACCGGCTCTGTTGGCAGTCAAACCATCTTTGTCTTTCCAGCTCCCGCCTTCTAAGGTAACCGACCGTTTTAAATGAAGACTAATACTGAAGGACAACCTTTCTCTTGCAGTGATAGTCCCTGAGAATGTTGAGTCGGCAAAGGCGGTAAATTATGGCCTCAAATGCACGTCTCCTGTGTGGCCTTGTTTAAATGGACCTGTGCTAAGATTGGCTTTGGATTTGGTACTTGTTTTCCCTGCAGTAACCTGGAAGGCTTCAAAAATGCTAGCGCCTGGTCCCGTCCCCAGGGATCCTGATTTATCTGGTTCTGAAGCCTGGGCAACACATTTCTTAAGGTCTCCAGGCAATTCTGTGTGCGGGCAACTGGGAGGGTCCTTGTTCCCTGTTTCTTACCTTTAGTACTTTGCTGTCGAGAATTGTGCTGCCAAATGACTCTCCCAACCTTCTCTTCAGGTTTTTATGTGACGATTTTATTGCTGCATGTGGGTATTCTTTCTGTAGCCTTCTCTTCTCCCTGAGGAGCCTGGTTCCCCAAGTGTGATCCGGGAACCAGCGGCATCAGCATCACGTGAGAGTTTATCAGAGCTTTGGATGGAGCATCCTTGACTTCCTGAACCAGAATCTGCACGTCACCAAGTGCAGAAACATTCCCAACATAGTTAGGAAACATTCTCTCCCCACTGTCTGTACAGAAGGGCCCCATTATATACAACAGAGCAAGAGAGCACTTTAATCGCTGTTGATGATTCACTCGTTACTTCGCGATGAACTTTACCAACACGACACCAGGCCGTCTCCCTGGACTGTAGTCCATGGACTGCTGCGTGTTCAGTAGACCTTTGACTGAGTCTGTCTGGGATCCTTTCAGCCAGGGAGGGGGAGCTTCTGAGGGTAATGAATCTCCATTCCTGAGGCATTCAAGTGAAAAATCCTGAGCCACCAGAAGCTTAGACCTGTCAATTGTAAGACTTATTTCTAATCTTGGCTGGAAGCCGGCCTTGATGTTATTCCTGTTTTGCATTTTATAGTTGTTGTTGTTTTTTTTCTAAAATAAGTTTGGAATCATGGTGGAGATAGCTTGATAGCCCAATAAGAAAGTATAAAATCCTCCCTAAGAATTGACAATAAGCACACAAACCATGAATCAGGGTGTTTAATCTTTCAAGCCCCCGAAAGCGGCCATCACGGTGCACATGGAGTATTGCCAGCAGCATTAAAAGATCGGATTGCTGGCCTTCGTTGCTTGCTAAATATGGTGCATTTCCGACCCAGATAGTTTTTTAGACCTTTATGCTTATGATGGATTTTATAGCTCTGCAGAGGAACAGATTCCTTGAGAACTAAATAAAGAATTTATCCAGGAGCTATAACTTAAAAGGTAAAGGAGTTTGAGACACTAAAAGGGATAGGAAGAAAAATCCTTGCTATGTTGTTTAACGATACAAAATAGAATACTTGTTATATTTATTAAAGAGTAAAAAAAAATACTTTTCAAAACCACAGAATCTTCTTTGATGCTTGAACCTTTCACAATTTGAACACTCTACATGTTCCCAACAGCCAACGCAGTTACCTGAGTAGGTAGCTTCCTAGATATTCACACGCTGATGTTGTATGAATCAGTAGTTGCTACGCAATACATGTATATATTTTATTGTTTTTAACGTTTACTTGCTCATTTTGAGAGAAAGAGCATGCACGCGAGGGCGAGCAGGGGAGGGACAGAGAGAGAAGGAGACAGAGAATCCGAAGCAGGCTCTGCTCTGTCGGCGCACAGCCCATGCGGGGCGCGAACTCACGAACCATGAGATCACGACCTGAGCTGAAGTCAGACGCTTAACCGACTGAGCCACCCCGATGCCCCGTGTGTATGTATTTTAAAATACTACTCATGTCTCTTGAATATTTATGGGCTCATCCCCCCAGTGTATGCAGTTAAACACTACAATGCTTTCAGGGCACCTGGCTGACTCGGTTGGTTGAGCATCCGACTCTGGATTTCGGCTCACGTCATGATCCCAGGGTCGTGCGATCAAGCGCCATGTCAGGCTCTGTGCTGAGCGTGGAGCCTGTTTAAGATTCTCTTTCCCCCTCTGCCCCTCTCCCCTGCTCATGCTGTCTCTCAAAAAATAAAAAAATAATAATAATAATAACAAAATGAACATACATTACAACGCTTTCAAAGCTTCCCTTATTCCTCCAGATTCTCATCCCCCCCAGTTAAGTATTGCCCTGCATTTCTTTTTACTAATCTTTGTATTGCTTTTTTTATTTTTAAATTGAGAAAAAAAATTTTAAGTTTATTTATTCATGAGAGAGAGAGAGAGAGAGAGACAGCAGGAGTCGGGGAGGGGCAGAGAGAGAAGGAGACAGAGAATCCGAAGCAGGCTCCGGGCTCTGAGCTGCCAGCACAGAGCCCGACCTGGGGCTCGACCTCACGAACCATGAGGTCGTGACCTGAGCCAAAGTCGGACGCTCAACCGACTGAGCCACCCCAGTGTCCCTTTGATTTTTAAATTCAGATAAAACCGATGTATGACATCATACTCGTGTCACATGTACAACATAATGCCTCGATATTTGTCTGTACTGGGAAGTGATCCCACAGTAAGTCCCGTGAACATCCATCCACAGACATAGTTACGATTCTTTTCTTGTGATGAGGACTTTGAAGATCTACTCTCGGGGCGCCTGGGTGGCCCAGTCGGTTAAGCGGCCGACTTCGGCTCAGGTCACGATCTCGTGGTCCGTGAGTTTGAGCCCCGCGTCGGGCTCTGTGCTGACCGCTCTGAGCCTGGAGCCTGCTTAGGATTCTGTGTCTCCCTCTGTCTGACCCTCCCCTGTTCATGCTGTCTCTCCCTGTCTCAAAAAATAAATAAAACATTAAAAAAAATTAAAAAAAGGAAGATCTACTCTCTTAGCAACTTTTAAATACATAATACAGCATTATTACCTGTAGTCACCATGCTGTACATTATCCCTATAACTTATTTATTTGACAACTGAAAGTTTGTAATTTTTAATGTATTGCCTTTCTTTAAACCTGTTATCTATGTAGGGACTTTAAAAGAAGAGTGTTGTGTGCTGCCTTGCTTTTAACTTTATAAATAGGGTACCACTGTATGCATCCTTCTGTGTTCTTTTTTTTTTTTAATTATTGCTGTGGTTGTTTTTTATATTTATTTTTGAGGTCCGCCGTGTGAATGTCTATAGGTAAAAGTTAATTAATTTTTACCGCTCTGTGGCTTTTGATGTATATTATACCATGTTTTACTTACTAAATCCGTCCCATTTTACTATTGATTGACAGTTGGATTGTACCCAGTTTTTGTTTTTTTTTTTTTTGCTATTATAAAAAATTCTATAAATGTCCTCCTCCGGCGGCCAAGAATAATCTTGCCCGTGATTTAAAAATTTTCCTTATGCACAAACTACCAAGCTTTCCTACTACGCACAGTCGATATGATGAAACAAGGTCGTGTGCGGTGTTTCCAGCGACAGGCTCCAGTCATTACGCCGAATCGACGCTCGCGAGTTCGCATTAGTCACACGGGTTTTGCACAGAGACCCAGCCTCTGGTCTATGAAAGGACCCTGGAGAGTTGGAGGCGATGTGTTGAGAAGAGCATAATAGGCCTTTCCTCACATAGTTTCATAAAATTGTGTTGATGTGCAGAACAACTGTCTTGTTAGTAGGGCTTCCCGTAACAAATAGCGTCCTGCAGATGAGTGGAATTACAAAGTGTAAACATCCCATGAGAGAGTAGAATGTCTTTTCTTCATTACCACTTTCCTGTTTTTTGGCCGCGATTATAATTTGCCGCTAAGTGGCAAAAACAGTGTAAGATCTTGCAGTCACAGCACATTATCCCTAACTAATGTATAAATTCAGAATGACCTCTACATACGTAGCTGTAAATACCCAACTTAGGCCTATAGAACAATTCCAGGCAATGATTCAAACTAACCTAATCAACTGTGCATGTTATACCAACATCACAGCATTTTTTTTCCTGGAGGAAGAATATGTACTATCCAAAACACTCCACCAATGCCTTCACCAGGCTAAAACAAACGAAACCAAAACAGACCAATTTACTGATACTAAGTAAAAAGACGAATATTATTTGCGGTCAAGGAAAATCAAGAAAGGGAGGTCTGGGACCAGTGAACATGGAGTTTTGGTTCTCAGTAGATGTACTGTATTCACAAGCTTTATGCACAGTTGAAGACTCCCTTGTTCAGAGCCCCTTGTCTCTACAGTCTGTTTGACTTTCCAGCTCTGTTCTGGGTAAAGTGGGTCATGTCAGGTTCAACTTGAGTGGAAACCTTGAGACCCCGAGACGTCAATGTTAGAGTTATTTTATCCAGTCCCAAGAATGGTTGATGCCAGCATCTATTTATTTAATTATCTTCGTCATTAATTTCCACCAGAAGCAGAATATGCATCATGTTTAACAAGCAAATTCACTTTATCCAATTCATGCTCTGTATTTCACAGAAACCAATACCCCATGTGCTGAGACCCTCCCTAACCAGTTCTTCTTCCCCTTGGGTTTCTCCCGATGGAGGGACCAATTGTAAATTCCCATTTACCGTCCGATCAGTCACATGCTTTCCCATAAAGACGGACGAGGACATCTGGCAGTTACAGTTAGGGTGGCCGTCTGATTTATTGTGCAAGCCAGGACACTTTAGCCAACGAAGGAGATGATCTCCTTAATTATGATGGGACAGCGGCACAAACCAGGGCTCTGTGGCTTTCTTTCCACGCGACGTGCCCTCTTGCCAATTAGCAGCCTTTCTCGGGTGTCCTGTCAACACTCCGTGGTTCCCTTTTTACTTCCCTCACTTTTCTCAGTCTGAGCTTTGTTTGTAAATTTTTCTTCCAACGATGGTTTTGCTCTGGCGTGTCGTACAGAGCTTTGGTAAGGGATCTCCGTACCATTCAATAGCACGCTTGCACCACAGAGTGGGGGACTATTACATCGTGTTGAGCATCTCTCGAGCGTCCTTGCGTGAAACGTGAACAGGCCGGGGAACCAATGAGGACCGTAATGAGGCCTCACTGAGGACCCATCCTGGTGAGTGACATAAAGTGACAATTTCTCCGCCATCCTCAGAGGTACTTAAATTTCCGACCCCTTGGGTAGTGACGGGTGTGTTCCATTAATGTAGCAGTAAATATTCCCTCTCCGCTTTGACTTCCATCTCGAATCAGGTCAGCGAGGAATGACCCTCTGCCTTTGTACCGTCAGGATTTCAGGCAGTCTTGAGCATGAATGAATGGGCGTCTTCCGGCCTGGGCCTCTCTGGGGCCGTGGCTCCCTCGTTTCCCGACCTCTGCAGCAAGGAAGCACTTAGCGATCTGACCTTTCCTTCTTACAGTTCCACTTTGAGAATGTTTCCTTGTGACCGCTAGATTCTGTTCAGTTTTGTCCTTTACGGGAATAGTTAGGTACTGCACTGTGTTTTATTTTACTTTAAGTTTATTTGTTTATTATTTATTTTGAATTTCCTTAATATTTACTTATTTTTGAGAGAGAGGCAGAGTGCAAGTGAGGAGGGGCAGAGAGAGAGGGAGACACAGACTCGGAAGCGGGCTCCAGGCTCCGAGCCGTCAGCACAGAGCCCGACGCGGGGCTCGAACTCACGGACCGCGAGGTCATGACCTGAGCTGAAGTCAGATGCTTCACTGACTGAGACACCCAGGCGCCCATATTTATTATTTATTTTGAAAGAGAGAGAGAGAGTGTGAGCATGAGCCCAGGAGGGGCAGGGAGAGAGGGAGAGAGAGAATCCCAAGCAGGCTCCACACTGTCAGCACAGAGCGAGATGCAGTCCTCGATCCCATGAACTGTGAGATCATGACCTGAGCCGAAATCCAGAGTTGAACGCTTAACCGACTAAGCTGCCCAGGCGCCCCGGATTCTGCTTTGTATTTTACATGAGTTTGAGGCTTGTGATCCAGAGGAAGGGACGGTGGCTGGAGAGGAGTAAGCAAACGCCCTGTTCCTAAGCACTGTCAGTAGAAGTCACCTGTAAAGATATAAAGATGTACCAGGTTTCTTCCAAATATAACCCTTCAGAAATTCTTTTACACGCCGAAATGTGCATATTTTCGCATAAAGCACGGAAATGGTAAAGAACTTTAGAGTTAAGCAGTTCTTTTGACGTCGAACCACACTTGAAGGGTCAAAGTCTCCATGAGGCTACCTTATGGGGTTGCATTGGGCCCAACAGAGTTGAACCTGATGCAGGCCTTGGCTGGTTTTGGATTGCATTTGTCAGGAATACAAAGCATCAAAGCCTCAGTCACTGAAGGAAAAGTGCATTTTGTGGAAGTTCTTAGGCAGCAAGCTCCTGGGACCGAGGGGGCTCCATGTTCTGTCTCCCCACCCTCTGGAAGGACACCAGTGACCTCAGGACAAAAGTTCAAAGAGAGAGGAAAGAAACACGTAGGAGTACAATGAGTAAAATCTTTATAAAATTCCGGATTCCTTTTCATTAAAAAAAATAAGAGCCTTATAAAATAATCTCAAACCCAGGCTGTAAATATTAACCAAAAAAAAAAAAATCCTTAATATTTAAGTAATTGGAAAATGATTTTTTTAATGATTTTTTTAAAAAGATGAATAATTAAGATCTTCTATCTCCTAAGTTAAAAGAAAACATTCCCCTGGAGGTGATGTGAATGAAACATAATTATATAAGGGAAAGAATAAATAAAACAGGGAAATTTTTCACGAAGCATGCAATTTACCGCGCGATTTCTCGGGCTTAAAACCATATTGATTATTTAAAAATGCTGTGCTTCGTTCGTGTTTGCCTATGGAAATAAAGTATTCAGTTAGGTGAAAACTTTGTGATTTTATCCCACGTCGCTGCAGGTGGGTTCCCCGGGAAGCCGCCTCTCTGCCTGGCGCATTTGTGTACCGGGGTTTGGTGAGGTTAATTCTTGGGAACATTCCTCGGAAGGTCGAGAGAGCAGCTGGGATGAACAGAGACAAGCTGAGGTGTGGATGCAGTTCCAACAGGAGCCTCAGGACGTCCCGCGGAGGCTCTGAAGCATTCTGCCCTTCAGAGACGTCCCAGGAGAGAAATGGGGGTAGACCACCCACTGACCACTTTGTTGCATCCCTGGGCACTGGCCATCCCCCCCAGTTCTGGGGGAGACCCTCAGCCTCTGTCCTAAAAATGAAGTGTGGTGGGTTGGGCGGTGTCTTGGGAACTAGGCTCTGTATGCAGATTTCCTCCAGGTGTTGCCTTTTACAAAAGCATTTGCGGTGACTGTTCTCTTTTTTCCGGAGCTGTTCCTTTCCTCCCATACCCGAGGCATGTTGCAGTACTCAAATCTGCGATGCCTGTAGAAGGCAGCTCAGCAGGGGCTGGGAGAGCCCCACATGTGGCCCCACACGTGGGGAAGGAGGTGGTTCTGAACCCCATTTGCTTTGATTGTGATTTCAAAGCCGTGACCTGGCTCACCATTACTCTGATAGCATTGTCTTCTTGGGAAACCCAAGGGGATACAATAAAATCACTGGGAATTGTGGCTTGTAATGGTAAAAGATACCCTGAGGCGTATCAAAAATTTTAAGGGTTTATTTGAACAAAGATTGATTCAGATTGGGCAACAGCAAACCAGAGGTGGTTAGGGGGGCTCCGTAGAGACAGGAGCCAGGGGACAGGCTTCTATAGAGAAGGTGCGGAAGCAAAGAAAGGAAATTATTGATTGGCTATAGCTTAAAGCCTGGTTAGCTGTTCGTGATGGGCTGTCCTTAGGGTTTGATTTCAGAACCCGGGGGCATTTAAAGGCCCAGACTTTGGTTTGCTTTCCGAGGCCACTAAAGCTTTTGGTGAGCCGCCTCTGTCTGGTGGCCCCCTTGCTTAATTAATTTAACAGTAATTACACCGCACCAATTAGTGACTGCGGCATGACTTGTAAAATTTAACTCTTACTCTTGGAAACCATCAAAGCCCATTTCTTTTTTTCATGGAGTAGTCTGATGCTAATTTTTCTCCATTATTTTCAGTGCCATATCATCGTGAGATCCTTGTTCATTTTGTGTGTTACTGTTAAAAGGTAGTTGATTAAATTGCCTAATTCAGAAACAATTAGAGATGTACGTATGGATTGTTCTTAGATTTCCTTGAACAGTTAAAATCAAACATGGTTTTAAATATGCCTGTGCTTGGGGTGCCTGGGTGGCTCAGTCGGTTAAGCATCCGACTTGGGCTCAGGTCATGATCTTGCGATTGGTGGGTTCGAGGCCCCTGTTGGGCTCTGTGCTGACGGCTCAGAGCCTGGAGTCTGCTTCGGATTCTGTCTCCCTCTCTCTCTGCCGCCCCCCCCCCCCCCCACTCACACTCTGGGAGTTATTTCAATAAATAAACATTGAAAAAAAACTTAAATATGCCTGTGCTTGTGCGCACACATATGCACTTACAGAGTGGAAGTTTCACATACATAATTCTTTTTCTTTTTTTTTTTTTAAGTGTATTCATTTATTATTTCGGAGAGAGAGAGAGGGCACAAGGTTGGGGGGGTGGGCAGAGAGAGCGGGGGGGGGAGACACAGACTCTGAAGCAGCCTCCAAGCTCTGAGCCATTAGCATAGAGCCCAATGAGGGGCTCAAACTCACAAACCACAAGATTCGTGACCTGAGCCGAAGTCGGATGCTTAACTGACTGAGCCACCCAGGCACCCCTCTCTGACCAGTTGTAATCAAATTCTGTTTTAAAATTTTTTTAATGTTTATTTATTTTTGGGACAGAGAGAGACAGAGCATGAACGGGGGAGGGGCAGAGAGAGAGGGAGACACAGAATCGGAAGCAGGCTCCAGGCTCTGAGCCGTCAGCCCAGAGCCCGACGCGGGGCTCGAACTCACGGACCTCAAGATAGTGACCTGAGCTGAAGTCGGACGCTTAACTGAGCCACCCAGGCGCCCCTCAAACAATGTTTTATGCCTGTGTCTGTGTGCGCACGCATGAACATACAGAGTAGAAATTTCACATGACGTAATTATTTTTCAGGTATCTTAAATTTAGCAGGTCCTATTATGCCTGTGAGTTTTTTCTCTGATTCTGTTATCACATGCCCTTTATTTAGTTCACATGGTTTCATATCATGCTAAAAGGAGTGATTTTTTCTGTGCGCTTGCACGAGAGGAATCACATTTTGCTGAAATTAAACGTGCCTTGACTCTACGGGTAGGGTTGCGCGTCCTACCTTCGGCCCATCCGCCCGTAAGCCTGGTTCCGCTTGTTATTTCTATGCTTTACCGAAACCGCTAGCTTCTGTTCTTTTCAGCCACCCGTCACCCCCTCCGTGAGCAGTATGGCCCTGCCGAAAAGTTAGGAAGCCTCGTCCTCAGGAGGAGGCGGCAAACTTGCATTTAAGAAACACTGTGCACTGTTGTGGTCACGACGGTTGACTTTCTCCTTTGTGTATCTCCGTGTTCGTGCAGGCTGTCCTGACAGCGTCTCTGGCTCTGGGTGTGGAGGTCCCCTGGGCGGCTTTCAGGGCTGCCTGAGGCTCATCTCCATTGGCGACAAGGCGGTGGATCCCATCACGGTGCAGCAGGGGGCGCTGGGGAGTTTCCGTGACCTCCAGATAGACACATGCGGCCTCACAGACAGGTAAAGCCATCCCGTGTCATTTTAGCATTCTTGATTTCAGTCGTTTGATCGTAGATTGAAAAAAATGGACAGCGGAGAAAAAGCGCCTTCTTCTAGCTCCTCTCTTCCTGATATCCAGTCCCAATGGAAAAGTTGTGATTACGTTGAAAACAAGAAAATGACAGTCTTTCTTTTTGAATAATCGCTCCTTTGAATGATAATATTTTCTTAGAAGACACTCTCTCATGAATTTTCCTTGTGTCTGTCCCCCCACTGCTTAGTTGTTACAGAATTCTGTTTGTGGTGCTATAATTATTGAGCGTAAATACTGATGAGTAGAAATACTTTTAAGAATTTTTCCACTGCACCAAAACAGATTAGAATAGTCTACAGAGATAATGAATCACCGAGGACCAGTAAGTCAATGTGGTCAGCTGGATTCACCCCACACTCCCTTTTCTACGTGGAAAATGAAAAGTGTTCCTTGGAGAAAGGTTGAGCCTTTGGAGATTTCTGGTCATGTAAACACAACAAAGAATGGAAAGAACCCAGTTACCACAGGCTGAACATGGTACTGGTTCCCTGAGGGAGATGAGACAAGCAGGGCTTTTACGGAGAACAGATTGGTGGTGCCCGTGGTGGTGTGGGGGAGTGGGAGTGGCTGAAAGAGGTGAAAAGGTACTGGGGCACCTGGGTGGCTCAGTCGGTTGAGCATCTGATTCTTGTTACTGGCTCAGGTCGTGATCTCATGGTTCGTGGGATCGAGCCCGTCAGGCCGTGTGCTAACAGCACAGAGCCTGCTGGGGATTCTCTCTCTCCCTCTCTCTCTCTCTCTCTCTTTCTCTCTGCTCCTCCCCCGCGGTGTGTGCTCTCTTTCTCCAAAAAAAAAAAAAGGCACAAACTTCCAGTTATACAAGAAGTCTCATGGGGACGTAAGGTACAGCATAATGCCTCGAGTTAATAATACTGTTTTGTATATTTGAAAGTTGCTAAGAGAGGAAGGAGATCTTTCATCGCAAGAAAAAACTTTTCACGGGACAATATATACAAATATCCAATCATCATGTTGTCCCCCTGAAACTCATATAATGTGAGTCAATTAGAGAAGAGCTTTAAAACAACAGCGTGTTAAAATTGCTAAGCGTTGCACCTTTTATTCAAATGGTCTCATTAGTCATGCTATCGGACTGTCAGTTATTTTGGCCAAAAGGGACTAAATCTTTTTCTGTGCCTGATGGGTGTAGCCTCCTGCAGTAGGAGTGACGTATATCCCTGCTGAATAAACAAACGCGCTCCAGATACCCTTGCACGTCCGTGCCCGACCAACCCCTTCAAAGGTCACACTTTGCAAAGTGCTTTGTGCGGTAAATCTGGTTCTTTAAAAAAATATTTTTTTGATGTTTATTTATTTTTGAGAGAGAGAGAGAATGAGTGAGAGTGGGGTGCAGGGGCAGACAGAGAAGGAGAAAGAGAATCCCGAGCAGGCTCCTCACTGTCTGCACAGAGCCCCGTGCGGAGTCGAAGTCAGACGCTCAACTGACTGAGCCACCTAGGTGCCCCACGGCAAATCTGTTCCAAGTTTAGCGCTCACTGCAATTCCACGTCATGTCCGATAAACTACGAGTTACGTTGCGGTTTGGCAACGTGTTAGGAAACCGTGAATTCCAGTACGTGAAGTTTTAACTCGTGAGAACGTGATTTCGTTAATGCCGATGTTCATGTGCATGGTTCACCTTCTGTTCGTCTGTGGGAAGTTAGATCCGTGCCCGGAGAATTCCCTCCCAAAGCATGATGTGGTCACAGTGATTTCTCTGACATAAGAAATGCATGTTGCCCCTTTGTGCATACAAGTCTTTTAGCCCCCCCAAAATCGTGTGTGGTGCATGTATAGGTGTGTGTATATATATATCACCAAATAGAAAGATTTTCCTTATCACACGCAAAAATGGATTTTAGAAATATGTTCCAAGAATGGATGGAGACATCTGGCATATTAAGTTACCTCCTTTCGGCACAAATTGAGGTTCATGGCAGCTCCGTACATGGGTGTGAAAAGAGCTGTTGACTCTTTGGCCGATACAGTCGATAATTGCAATTTTTAACGGTTTAACGTCTAAAAACGTGTCCTTATTCTCCACTACTAAAAATGTTCATTTCTCCTTAGCCCTTCCGGCCATACGTACCAACTGAGTGTCCAATGCACCACAAACGGGATTCACGTAAACACACGACAGAGCAAACGTCCACACCCAGGCTCTTGCCAGCTGCCCGCTGCTGAGCCCGGCCACCCGCCCAGCCCACACCCTGCCTGTCCAGAGCAAGTCGTGGTGTGCTCAGTAAAGCTGAGATTTGTTATTAAAACGCAAGTGATTTTATGACTTTTATCCGTCAGGCATGGGAGTTCATAATTCATGATGCGTAACAGCATTCCTGGCCCGACGATACTGCAGGGTTATGAAAGGATGTTTGAAATCTCATGGGACGTAGGAAACCTTTCTGAGCCACACAAGGACTCGTGCACCTGGTGATCTGTCTCCCCCGGGGCCCCCGGGACACAGGGAGAGCGGTGGGTTCTTTGGAACAAGGTTTCTAGGAGGAGGTAGCCGGGAGGAGGGATCGTGTCTTACACCAATTGTGTTTTGGACGTTAGGATCTCATGTCATATACCTCGGGTTACACAGTCTGGTCAGGGTTTCTTTTGAGAATCACGGGAGTGCCGTCTTGAACACCGCTAGGCCTGGATTGTACGGATGGGGCCACTTTTCCCACTTCTTTGGCCTCTGTCTGGCGTTAATCTTCTAGACGCTAAGCGCACCATCGTGCCCTATACGTGTCGTTTCTTGGAGAGAATTAGTAGGCTTATTCTCTTAGAGAGGATAAGTAGTTGAGATTGTGGGGGGTTGTGGAGACATGGAGGAAGGGTCCCTGATTTGCTCCGGGACGAGGCAGTGCTTTTGGAGAGGAGGGACGGACATCTAGAGTGGGGTGCAAGGTGGGTAAGTCCGTCAAGTGAGAGAGGCTACATACGCATCCAGGGAAGGTACAGCCTTGTGCCCAAGCCCGAGTGCAGCCATGAATCTACCGGTTCGAGCACGGCCTGCTGTACCAGTTGGGTGTCTGAGAAGGAGGAGCAGGGGGTGGTGAGAGATGGGCCTGCCTCACTGCGAGGGGCTGCACCACAGAGGCCCGGCGGCGGAGCCGAAGTCTGGACGTTGACCTGAGGCTCCCTGAGGCATCTCTGAAGGCTTCAGTTAGGCAGTACGGCCCACGGCCCGGAGAGGATTTGGGTGTGGGCTGAAGAGAGAGGGTGTGGTGGGAGGCCGGGGACGGGGCTGCCTACCTGTGGGAAGGGATGATGGCCCGAAGTAGGGAAGAGAAAAACAGGGCTGGCTCCTACATGTTTGGGGAACATCGTGACAAGTTGACGCGCTGCCGGGCTGTGGGGTGGCAGAGGAGGAGTCAGGATGGGCCTCAGATTCTGGCCTGGACAGCTGGATAAAGGGTGACCTCACCGCTCGATGGGACGGTGATGGAGAAGCACCATCTTGGGAGGCCCAGAGTCAAGAGGTTTCCTTATTAGGTCTTAAGATATTTTGGGAACGCTAGAGGCACAAAATCCTTAGGTTGGGGAGAACCTTCAACATGACATCTGCTGACGCTTCCGTCCCCAAGCAGGGATCTCGTTTTCACTCACCGTGGAGAAGAGGCTCCCGCTTCTGTTCCACCTTTCAGGAACCGGAAGCTTCCCCGCTCACCACACGCTTCATCCGTGTCTTCTGTCCCACCCAGATTTCCAGCTTTAATCTTCATCTTCCCTGTCGTAAAGCTGTGCCCACTTTAGCCCCCCGCAGCCCGACAAGTCCCCGGTGGATTCCCTGAATTGGCTCTCGTCCGGGCTCGAGTCCGTTCTCTTAGCAATGTTTTACAGGTTAAGTACTATCCCCATCCTGACTGCCCTCCTGCGCATCAACTCTGGCCAACATCTTCCCTGAAACTGGAAGGAACCTGGCCCGTGCGTGGTGTGGAGGTTCCATAACTCTTGGTACAGACTAAGCTCTCCTCATCTGCGTGTGAGCACAGCCCCGGCGCTAGACTTCCGGTTCCCCACCAGTCTTCGGCGGTGGCGCGGCCTCCAAGTCAGGTTAAGGTACACGCTGGTGTGCCTGCGCACGCGCACACGTGAAGGTTTTCTTACTACGGCTCATACCTCTCTCTGGTCTTCCTTGTGCACGCTGGGTCCCGCCAGGAAGGCAGGAGGTTTGGGGTAACGAAGCCGACCTCAGGCGTGGGAGGGCCCAGGAAACTGCAGCCATTGAAGGAAGAACCCAAAGGGCCAAAGACACGGGGACAGCAGTCACGAAGGGAGGGGCCCGGATGTCGACCGACCTGCCTCGTAATCCTTGGAGGTGAAGAGACACCCTTCTGTTTTCCCAGGAAGCCCGCCTTCTGGTTCTTGGCCTGGAATCAGGTGTCTCCCACTCAAATGGCAGAAGGCCCAGCAGAGAGCGTGCCTATGCGTCCTTGGAAAGAAATGGGGCTCATTTCCAGCATCTCCCTCTCAAACAGTAAGGGAGTGCTCAGTGCTCACTGCTCATAGAGTAGAAGTAACCCAAAGTTACTCATCCCTTTGACTTCTTGAGCTCCAGAGGGAATAGTTACGTAGCTCCTGCAAACGTGTGAGGCTTTTGAGTGACTGTATTTAGAGCTTAAACTGAGAGGCAGTGTGGCTTGTCGGGACCCAGGTCCTCCACCTTTGAATTGACGCGGGTCTTCTTTTCTACATCATTGGCAAAGCCGTGATATCCTGTTCCTTTGTAAGGCCGTGACGGATTTGGTTTATCCATTCGTCACTTGGTGGGCATTTGGGCGGTTTCTACTTTTTGGCTATTACGAGTCGTGCCGATAAGAACATTCACGTGCAGGTGTTCGTGTGGACATGTGTTTTCAGTTCTGTTGGGCGTGTACCCAGGAGCGAAATTGCTGCCAGTGGTGACTCTGCGTCTAACTGAGGAACTTCCAGATTGACTTCTAAAGCACCATTTTATCGTCCCAACAGCGACGTAGAAGGGTCCAGATCCTTCTCATTCCTGTCAACACCTGTTCTACCTTTCTGATGATGGCCATCCTGGTGGGTGGGAAGTGGCATCTCACTGAGGTTTTGGTTTGCACTTTCCTAATGACTGCCAATGTGGAGCATGTTTTCATATGTGTATTTGCCATTTTTACATCTTCTTTTGTATGGCATCTGCTCAGATCTTGTGAGCCAGTTTTTAATTGGTGGTTCATGTGCCTTCCATTGGGTTTTAAAAGAGTTTTACCTAGGGGCTCCTGGGCGGCTTGGTCGGTGAAGCGTCCAACCTCTGATTTCAGCTCAGGTTATGATCGATCTCACGGTTTGCGAGATCGAGCCCCGTGTCGGGCTCTGCACTGGCAGCACGGAGCCTGCTGGGGATTCTCTGTCTCCCTCTGCCCCTCCCCTGTGCTCTCTCCTCCCTCTCTCAAAATAAATAAGTAAATAAATAAACTGAAAAAATAAAAGTGTTTCCCCTGTATTTCGGATAACAAGCCCGTGTCAAGTGTGTGTTTCGCCAAGACTGTCTCCTAGACTGTGGTGTGTAACCTCATTCCCTTAACAATGTCATTGATGGCGAAGTTTTAAATTTTAATGAAATCTAAATTACCCATTTTTTTTCTTTCATAGACCGTATCTGAAAAGTCATCACCAGACCCAAGATCAGCTAGATTTTCCGTTTTGTTGTCTTCCGGGAGTTTAAGAGTTTGGTATTTTACATTTAGGTCTATGGTCTCCCTTGAGTTAACTTTTAAAATTTTTAACATTTTTAATTGCAATACAGTTGTCATAGTACATTTTAGGCGTACAACATAGTGATTTAACAAGAATATACATTATGGGGCTCACCAGGAGAAGTGTAGTTACCATGTGTTACCAGGCAAAGTTACTGGAATACTGTTGACTATGTTCTCCATGCTGTATTTTTCATCCTTGTCGTTTGGTTTATAACTGGCAGTCTGTACCTCTTAATCCCCCTCACATATTTTGCCCACTCCTACCCCCATCATCTGGCGACCACCATTTTCATCTCATATTTGAGTCTGGTTCTCTTTTTTTTTTTTATTGTTTTTTGTTTGTGTATTTGTTTTTTAGATCCCACATATAAGTGGAACCATCTGGTATTTGTCTTTCCCCTTCTGACTTATTTCACTTAGCGTAACACTCTCTAGGTCCATTCCTGTTGTATCAAATAGCAAGACTTCATTTATTTTATGGTCGAGTAACATACCATTGTGTATATATGCGACATCTTCCTTATCCACTCATGTATGGATGAATACTTAGGTTGCTTCCATATTTTGGATATTATAAACACTGCTGCGGTCAATATACGGGTGCATGTACCCTTTCAAATTCATGTTTTTGTTTTCCTTGGGTAAATGCTGAGAAGTGGCATTACTGGATCCTATGGTATTTCTGTTTTCACTTTCCTGGAGAACCTTCAGACCGTTTCCATAGTTGACGGACCAATTTACATTCCCACCAACAGTGCACAAGGGCTCCCTTTCACCACATTCTTCTAAACATTTATTATTTCTTGTCTTCTTGGTACGAGCCATTCTGACTGGTCTGAGGTGGTATCTCACTGTGGTTTTGATCTGCATTTCCCTGATGATGAGTGATGTTGAGCAGCTTTTCAGGAGTCTGTTGGCCATCTGGATGTCTTCTTTGCAAGCCTGTCTATTCAGATTCTGTGTTCCTTTTTTAATTGAATTACTTGTTGTTGTTGTTGTTGAGTTGTACCAATTCTTTATATATTTTGGTTATTAAGCCCTTCTCAGACCTATCACTTGCAAGTATCCTCTTCCGTTCAATAAGTTGCCTTTTTGTTTTGTTGATGGCTTCCTTCTCTGTGCAGAAGCGTTTTAGTTTGATGTAGGCCCAATAGTTTATTTTTACTTTTGTTTCCCTTGCCTGAGGAAAAATATTAGTAAGTCTGATGTGCAAGAGGTTATTGCCTGTGTTTTCTTCTACGAGTTTTATGATTTCAGGCCACAAATTTAGGTCTTTAACCCATTTTGAGTTCATTTTTATGTATAGTGTAAGAACGTGGTCCGGTTTCATACTTTCACGTGTGGCTGTTCAGTTTTCCCAACATTTATTGAAGAGACTGTCTTTTCGACACTGTATATTCTTACCTCCTCTGCCATAGATTAATTGACCATATACATGTGGGTTTATTTCTGCACTCTTATTTCTGTTGCATTGATCTTTGTGTCTGTTTTTGTGCAAGTACCATACTCTTTTGGCTACTACAACTCTGTAGTATAGTTTAAAATCGAGAATTATATCTCCAGCTTTGTTCTTCTCTCTCAAGATTGTTTTGACTATTCAGGGTCTTTTGTGGTTTCACACAAATTTGGGGATTTTTTGTTTTGGTTCTGTGAAAAGTACTATTGGCATTTTCATAGGAATTGCATTCAATCTGTAGATTGCTTTGGGTAGTATGGACATGGGTAGTACGAACAGGGTTCTTCCAATCCATGAGCATAGTATGTCTTTCTGTTTGTGTTGTCTTCGGTTTCTATCATCAATGTATTATGATTTTCCGGGGGTAGGTCTTTCATCTCCCAAATTCTAGCCTCTACTGTATCTGTTTGCTGATGTCCCATCTGTCGGAGCTGGTCACATGCCCAACCCAGTTTCAAGGTGGAGAGGAATGCCTCTCTGTGGAAGGATCTGTAGGTCCCAGTTCAAGGACACGGAAGCAGGGAGGGGAACAATTGTGTCTGCCCGTGGCCATTGCTAGCAGTTTATATCTCGGGTCATGTAATGAAATGGATCTTGCCTTATTCGTGAAAAAGCAAACACATTTTTTGATAATGCAACGGGTAGAAAATGTATCTGTCGCAAATACGTGACAATTGGCAGCATCTGATGGGTTTCTTAGTTGGTCGTGGGTATCGCCTTAGGAAACCTTCTTGACAGATCTAACAATTTTTGTTCATGTTGCAATTTTTCTCTTCAAGCCACTGTCATTACTGTCTTCCACTGTAACGTGTCGGTGAAGATACACGTGTTCTCCTGACTGAATGTGGGAAGTAACGGTTGTTTGTGTTCTCTCGTAGGTGTTTGCCCAGCTATTGTGAGCACGGGGGCGAATGTTCCCAGTCCTGGGACACCTTTTCCTGTGACTGTGCGCACACTGGCTACCTGGGCGCGACCTGCCATTCCCGTAAGCCCCACACCCTGCCTGTTCCCTTTTCTGTCCTGATTTCCATGCAGTTCTCCTTTCCTTTTCTTTCTTTCTTTTATTTTTTTAACGTTTATTTATTTATTAGAGAGAGAGAGAGAGAGCGTGCGTGTGCGCGCGAGCATGAGTGGGGGAGGGGCAGAGAGAAAGGGAGACAGAGAATCCCGAGCAGGCTCCAGGCTTTCAGCACAGAGCCTGATGCCGGGCTCGAACTCATGAAACCGTGAGATCCTGACCTGAGTCAAAAGCAAGAGTCAAAGGCTTAACCGACTGAGCCCCCCAGGTGCCCCCTTCTTTCCTTTTCATTATTTCGTGTATATGTGTCTGTGTCTGTGCAACCACGTTCTGGGAAGTAACAACAAAAACAAGTTTTTAGGGACCAATTTTTGTCTGGTTTCTTTTTTTTTTAATTTTTAGAATATTTATTAATTTTTTTTGTCAAATGCTGATTTATTAAAGAAACAAAACTTAAGCATTATCAAGTTTCAGACAGAGCTCAGCATTCCCCCCCTTATGGTTTTTCTGTACATTTTCTGGTAAGACTTAACATTTTATCTTTCTTAACAAAAAATACATATTTAGGGGTGCCTGGGTGGCTCAGTCAGTTAAGTGTCTGACTGTTGATTTCGGTTCATGTCATGAACTCATGGTTGGCGAGATAATTTTTGAGAGGGACAGAGAGAGCGCAAGTGGGGGAGGGGCAGGGAGAGAGGGAGACACAGAATCCGAAGCAGGGTCCGGGCTCTGAGCTGTCAGCACGGAGCCCCACGAGGGGCCCGAACTCCCGAACCCTGAGATCAGGACCTGAGCTGAAGTCGGACACTTAACTGACTGAGCCACCCAGGTGCCCCATGCCTGGTTTATTTTTAATCAGTTTTATTTCCTAGTGATGTCAAGGCAGTTTACAGAAATACGTAGTATCAGATAGGATGGAAAAAAAAAAAAGAAAGCAGCAGGCAAAGAAAAATAAATATAGGAAAATAAAATGTAATAAAAACCCCCAATACGAGAAACAATCTAGACGGCATGATCACGTTACTCTGTTCCTCGCGTCGGACCCGGTTTTAGTTCTCCAGTCCTGTCTGCCGAACTAAAGAGGACGAGTTACTGAATGTCAGTATTTATAAAATCTAATGGGGGGGGGGGTTGCAGAAAGGGGCACAGGATGAGAGTTAACATGGTAGGGTTTCTAGAGTCAGCCAGAGGCCGGGTAAACGTCCAGGTCCCTCACAGTCGTGATGCTCTTTGATGATGGCGGTGGTGAACGCATTGGAAGCTTACCATGTGCCTGTGGGATCCTAGTTTTCTGTAGTTCTCTGCATGTTTCTACTCCTTTGATCCTCAGAATCATCCTAGAAGGTGAGTGTTCTACATTGTGCACTTAGGAAAGAGAGAGGTCAGGTCCCTCGATCAAGGTCCCACAGCTGCCGGCCAGGTCTCTCGACCGCCTTGAACCATCCCCACGTCTTCCATCTTGAACACCAGGCTCTTTTCCGAAGAATCATTCTCCGAAGGCCACAGCCAACCAAACTTGAGCGACCCCAAATTCATTACCGACCAGAGGCTTGCCACAGAGCCCCTGAGATCCTCATTGCTGTCTAACTCTTGGCTTTCGTTGTTTATGGTTTTATTCTACTTTTTCCTTTTTGGCGTATCACTGCCGACGTTTCTGAGCCCCTTCTTTTTAGCACGTGTCCCCGCCCTGGGCCTTTAGAGAAAACAGCCCGCCGTGAACATTCCCCGAGGCAGAGCACGGGTTGTCAAGTTTCCAGCCTGTGCGAATTGAACCCCAAAGCAGCAGGCATCAGCGTCGGGCCGAGAAGCCTTGGCCTCCGGCCCGGGATGTTCCACAGAAGAGCCGGGAGGCTCTTGCAGTCAAAGGGCGGTGACTCACCCCACTAAACACCCCATAAGTTCAACCAGAGCAATTGTACCTGAATTTGCTTTTATGGTGCCAAGTAAGAATTTTCCAAGGCACCTCTTTATTTGGAAGGAGCTGGACATCTGGGATGTCTGAGGCTCGGTGACTTGTCCAGAGTCACGGCTAAGTATGGGGGCGGTCTCTTACGTACAGTGCTCCCCCTGCCACAGATGGCACCCAGCAAGGTGTCTTACACAAAGCGGATACCTACTGAAGGTTAATGACCGAGGAATGATTTGCTACGGTGTTGCCGGTAACTCTGATTTAACCATCATCCCAAACAACTCTGATTGGAAAATTAACAGGTGTATTATACGGAGTCTTTCACTTGTGGCCTTAGTAATTTGATTTGGTCTAATAACTGCATTGACTTTGTTGTGATACTCTAATAGTAGACCAAAATGAAAGGGAGAGATTTCCAGTTCCACAGTAAGGGCTCATAAGGCCGTTAGTTTCCGGTGTAAGTGCACGATTAACGCAGGTGCCTTCCTGGTGTTTCCTCCTCTACCCTCATTCCCCAGGCGGGTCCAGCCCCGATCCAAACGTAACCACTGTCGTCACTTTGTGTGTGTCCCTCTGGACACTTTTCCAGGGCAGTTGCAAGCACGTTTACGTATTTATAGAAGCGTAAACATGAGTGGGCAAAATGCAAGCCAACGCTGCTGGGAAAGCATTCCGTGTTGTGTCTGTAGCCACCAGAGTCGATGGCGTGCTATTGATTTGGGCCGATCTCATTTGACCCATTTGACACCTGGCCATATTTAATAAAAGAATGTTTTCTTTTGTAACAGCCCCCGGACAAGCAAACATTCCTTTGATCTTCTTCTTCTGTGCGAAGGGAGAAAAACAGTCCCTCTGCCCCACCCGCCCCCTCTCCGGGTTTTGCTTCATTCTTTGAAATCGGCCGAGTTTTAAAATGTAGCTAACCCAGTGAGTGGAGAAGGGCATCAGTTCTGGGCCCCCACTCTGCCCTCTCCGTCCCTTCCGGGATCGTTCTCGGTGGTGGATCTTGGCTAGCCACTTCCTGAGTCTGTGTTCCTGAATGCCGGACCTCATCCTTAGGGTGGCTTAAAGATCCAGTCCACACTGTGCCAGAAGCAGTGATGCGTTTCTTTCCTGGTGGCCGTTAGCTGCTTTTCAGGTTTTCAAAGGGTCTTTCCTCTCGAGGCGGTGACTGATGTGCACGGGAGACACTGCTCGGCTGATTACTCATTTAAGCTTAGGCTGAATATTAATTAAGTCCATTATCTGCAGATGTTAATCACTTGCCATGTGCTAGCAAAGCATTTATTGCACACATAAAAAATTCAACTAAGAATCAGGATACATTGAACTTACAAAGAGATGTTTCGTGTGTATACGCTTTTTGTTTTTGGTTTTTTGTTTTTTTTTTTTAATTTCAGTTTTCTTGAGTAATCCTTGGCAAAGCACGTAAGGAAATTTCCTTTTAAAACACACTTTAAGGGGCGCCTGGGTGGCGCAGTCGGTTAAGCGTCCGACTTCAGCCAGGTCACGATCTCGCGGTCCGTGAGTTCGAGCCCCGCGTCGGGCTCTGGGCTGATGGCTCGGAGCCTGGAGCCTGTTTCCGATTCTGTGTCTCCCTCTCTCTCTGCCCCTCCCCCGTTCATGCTCTGTCTCTCTCTGTCCCAAAAAAATAAATGTTAAAAAAAAAAAATTAAAAAAAATAAATAAATAAAACACACTTTAAACGCTGAACGAAGAAAAGCCGGTGCTTTGCAAAACCCATCTTGAAAACAATGCGTTGCCCGTGTGGAGTGTTTTAAGTAAACAGAGAGTATAATTACTGAGTGATTTAAAAAATCACCGTGCTTATTAGATAATAACAGATCACTTAGGGAGATGAAGCCAGCGCCCTTCAGATGCTTAGATATTATGGGGCAGAATAAAATTAGACTGTGTAAGTCCAGTTACCATGGCTCTGGAAAGAGTCTCGTTTCTAGAGCACGCAGGGTTCAGAGCCGCACAGAGATACCTCTTAACATCTTTTGCTCCGTGCCTCGGAGTATTCATGCTGCCTGATCGGAGCAGGGCAACACTCCTCTAGCCAAAATGCCCCCGAGAGCAACGCAGAATGAGTGTCACTGGGGCAAGTATCGCGTAATTAACAACATGGAGGGCCCCATCTTATTGCTGCCCCTGGCTGAGATCCCTGTCCTTTTCAGCGTTGTACGAGCAGTCCTGTGAAGCCCACAAGCACAGAGGAGACTCTTCAGGGCTCTACTATATCGATTCCGATGGAAGTGGCCCTCTGGAACCTGCTCTCGTATATTGCAACATGACAGGTAGGCTGATAAGCTTTATTATGCCAGTTAAGCTCATGTAGTTGACTGCTGTGCGCAAAACCAGGTTTTACTTCGTTGAGTGGCAGGTTCGTGTACAACTCTGTATAAGTCATATTTCATTTTTCCTGGAGACCCCATTATATATGGTGGATCAGTACAGGTAGGTCATAAATAAACCAGCTCTTCAAAGGACCAGTGCACCCACCCCAGTGAATGATAGAATTGATACAAATTCTAACGCCTTTTTTACGCTCGTGTCTGTGTGTGTGTGTGTGTGTGTGTGTGTGTGTGTCAGTTGCTACCTTTTCTCCCTGTGCTCAGAAAACAACCCTCCTTTATGAAACTTTCCCTGCTGCTTCAGTGGTGTAGACATAACAGGTACTCCAACAATGACAGAATTTGGCCCCGCACAGTCGGGAGACAAATGGTCAGAAAAGAGTCAGCCGTATGTGGTTCCAAGGTAACCATGACCTGGTTATAATTTGGTTTCTCCGCTCTGGCCACAGGTCACCCTGATTGGGTTGCAGTTTCTGTAAGGAAGGAGTTATTTGTGGGTGAATTTATGATGGTGGTTTGTGAGTAGCTGAAAGTCCTGATGCGGTTTTTACACCTACTGTCACTTCATACATCAAACAAAATCGGAGCATTTGGGCAGTGGTTACCCAACCGATTTGATCCAGATTGGGTCAACTCTACCTTCCAGCGTACAAACTACCCCCAAGGTTGGTATAGAAAACGTGAGGGGCGCCGGGGTGGCTCGGTCGGTCAAGCATCCGACTCTCGGTTTTGGCTCAGGTCACGATCTAAGCGGTTTTGTGAGTTCGAGCCCCGCATTGGGCTCTGCGCTGACAGTGCAGAGCTTACTTGGGATTGTCTCTCTCCTTCTCTCTTTGCCCCTCCCCCACTCAAGCTGTCTCTGTCTCTCTCAAAATAAACGAACTTAAAAAAGTTAAAAAGGAAAGAAAATGTGAGAGCTCCCCGGGCATTGTACTGGAGGTACGTGTGGCTGGTTGGGGCTCTGGGGCAAGCATTTTCTCATAGATACTGACCAAAATATTGCAGTGTGATCATAGGAGATAAATATGTTGACTTAACCTTTACTGGAACGTGTGTGATCGGTCAAGTACGTGACGAAACAGCCAAGAGGATCTTTCTAGATATTCTGGGCTCCAGAGGTTATAACAGGCCTTCAAGTTACTCAATTTCTGCTCTGTTTTGCTTGCATTATCATGGCTCAAGTGAATGCCAAGAACAGACAAAGCTAAATAAAGATGCTGGCATCCCAATAATACATCCTCCTTTTATCAGTCACGTGCTTCATTATCATAGAAGTCTAGGACATGTTAACGATTCTTCTATCTTTTATCCTGGTTAATCCTGGAAGCAAAGTTCCTTCTACACTGAGGAATTTCAAGATCCCTCGAAAGATGAAAATGGTCCCAACTGGCACATTCCAAGATGAGTAAGGTTTCAATGACTGAAGCTGTTTTCTTGATAATTAACTGTTGGCAGCTTTTGGTAGGGCCGAGGTCAAGTTCATTAAAAAAAAAAAAAAAAAAAGGGCATTTGCTGCCGAGAGGAATAACAGACAGCTAATTGCCTGTTTGTCTACAGTGTATGGTTATAATGAAAGAAAAACATATTTTAATCGTCACAAGTGAACACGCGATTCGGGCATCTCCATGAGGTTTTTGTGGTGCATATTTGTAAAGCCCCTCTGGAATGTACGACTGGTTCAGAGACGTTTGTTTTAATACTGATTTCACAACATAACCGATGTGTTTTGATTTCCCTTAATTGCTGCTACCTTTTCAGAGTGAACCTCGGCACCCGCTACCAGAGGGGAGAGTAGTTATTGTCAAAATGCAAGGAGAAAGTAAGAACAGATGGTCAGCTTTTGATTTCCGTTAACTTAGGGTACTACCTGATGATACGTAAGCCAGTTTTTTTTTCGTTTTTATCCTTGAGGCAAGAAGGAGCCTCTAAATACAGGAAGGAGAAGGTGAAATCTACTGATGAACCCTCCTAGTGAATTTATAGACAAGATGAAGGCCTTGCAAACTGTCTGCCGAGGATGTGAATCATTTTCCTCCCCGTAGTAACTCAAAGAAATGTCCGAGTAAACGCACAAAACTGAAGAGTTGAGAAAAAGTTTCCAACGACGTTGAACGCGTGTGTCCTCAGTACCTGCTCTGTGCTGGGCATGGCTGTAACCACAACAGGGAGTGGGCTGGAACGGATCCCCCCCCCCCGGTACAGTGCACATTTCTGGGTGCGGAACTGGACCATTGAGAGCAGCTAATTGAATATGTGGCTTGTTGCCAAGGAGTGGGTGCTGTGAAGTGGAATAAAGCAGGGGCCAGGGGCACAGATGTGAGAGGGTGGGTTACTATTTTATTTTATTTTATTTTATTTTTTTATTGTATTCTGTTCTTTTTCTTCTTTCTTTCTTTCTTTCTTTTTCTTTCTTTCTTTCTTTCTTTCTTTCTTTCTTTCTTTCTTTCTTTCAAGAGCACCAGTGGGGTGCAGAGACAGAGAGAGAGAATCCAAAGGAGGCTCCGCACTGTCATCACAGAGCCTGATGTGAGGCTCAAGACCACAAACCGTGAGATCGTGACCTGAGCCCAAACCAAGAGTCGGATGCTTAACCGACTGAGCCACCCAGGTGCCTCTGGGTGGGTTGCGGTTTTAGAAAGAGGGATCAGGAAAGTACTCAGTTTGACTGTTACGTTTGAACCAACCTCATGAAAGGAACAGCTCTGAGAAAGTCTGAGCAAGCCTTTGGACGGAGGGAGCGTACAAGTGTAGCAAGCCTGCGGCCAGAGGGAGCCTCATGTATTGTGCAAACGCGGGTTGGAGGGGCCAAAAGATGGCCTTTGAGTCACGAAACTGGAAAGTGACAGGTCCAGGACTCACACCAGCTGTGCAGTTTGGGCCTCTAACCACCACGCCACGCCGGGAGAAGGTGAGGAAACCAGTTGGGGGGTTGCCCCAGTGGTTGAGCCCAGATGGTGGTGGTGCAGAACAGGTACAAACAGAGGAGGGAAGGAAGTCGGAGTCAGAACCAGGGGACGGGATGTGGCCGGAGGAAGACAGGCGTCCAGAAAAGTCCCCCGTGTTTGGATCCGAACCCTGAAAGGAAGGTGCAGGTATTATCAGTGGGGACGAAGCATGTCTGAAAGGGAGCACCAGGATTCCCGCTGTGAATCCACGAAGTTTGGGTTGCCTGTCGCTCGTCTAGTTAGTGAGGACCTGTTGGTCATAAAAATGAGTGTCATGTGTCAGTCTGAAAGCCCACTGGGTGGTTGTAACATCCTTGGCAGTACAACATCTAAAATATATTTTGGAGAGTGCCTTTGCGAATTAATTTGACAGACCAGTGGACTTCCATTTGGTTTACAGTGGTGGACACTGTCCAGCATCCTACAGCAACATGGGGCATCTCTGGGTCCCCACGCGCTTGTCCGCTGTCCACTGAAGGCCAGCTCTGCACTCTGCAGACACACATTCTGGGGCAGCATCCCAGAAAACCCTGTGTTTTTATTAAGCTTCCCAAGAAATTCTGATGTACACATGGGTTTAGAAACTACCACCAGGGAGCTGAGGATCTTTGGTTTGACCGTGCACAGCCTGCTCTCTCCACAAATATTAAAATGGAAGGAGGGCAGAGAATATCACAGAATGGAGAAATAAAACCAACGCAGATGTGAAATTTTGGTGCCGCCATTCACTTTTCTGTCTAGGCAATTGTCCTGTCGTTTCCCGGTTGTATAGGTGGCTGTGGTGACATTTAACATTTATTTATTTTTGGGACAGAGAGAGACAGAGCATGAACGGGGGAGGGGCAGAGAGAGAGGGAGACACAGAATCGGAAACAGGCTCCAGGCTCTGAGCCATCAGCCCAGAGCCCGACGCGGGGCTCGAACTCACGGACCGCGAGATCGTGACCTGGCTGAAGTCGGACGCTTAACCGACTGCGCCACCCAGGCGCCCCAATGTGGTGACATTTAATTATCCACAAACGCAACAAGAATCACTCATCTACATTAAGATAATGTCTAAGACATTAAACTCTCTAATTTCATCTTGGAATTATTAGACCTTTGAAGTGTGCACATGTGTGTGGGGGGTGGAATTCATGAAAATTATGGGGAATAATTTAATGATTAACATTGGTGTATATTTTTATTATCAAATATACTTAATAACTGTGTATGTCTTCATATTACTTTGCAAATGACCAAACGTTCAGTACAGATCATTATTGCAAGACTTTTCTGGTAATTAAGTTTTTTAGAGAAGTTTATAGTTGCCTAGCTCTTACAAAAGAAAACTCCTGAAATGAGCATACTCCTATTCTTTGTGGTAAGACAAATATTCTGAGGTCACATGAGTTAGGATTGAGATGGAACATCAAATGGATAATGGAACACACACACACACACACACACACACACATAAAGCAGGATGGGGAGCAAGAGTTAAAAACACGGCAGAGAGGGCGCGCCTGGGTGGCGCAGTCGGTTAAGCGTCCGACTTCAGCCAGGTCACGATCTCGCGGTCCGTGAGTTCGAGCCCCGCGTCGGGCTCTGGGCTGATGGCTCAGAGCCTGGAGCCTGTTTCCGATTCTGTGTCTCCCTCTCTCTCTGCCCCTCCCCCGTTCATGCTCTGTATCTCTCTGTCCCAAAAATAAATAAATGTTGAAAAAAAAAAATTAAAAAAAAAACAAAAAAAAAAACACGGCAGAGAGGATTTCCAAAATACCAAGGGTTTTTATTAAGGTCAAAGCCATAAGGAAAGCAACTTGCTGAAGACAAAGAACTACAGAGGCTAACCCAAAGACAGGAAATATTTCTAGGAGCCATACAACAAAGCATTTAACCAAAAGTGTACAAAATCCAAGATGATCCTGGGAAAATTACAGGAATGAACCAGAGTTACAGTTAAATGGTCCTTACTGATCTGGGTCACACGAGGTGCTCCGGTGACCAATCTAGTTA